TAAGCTTTCGTGGGCTAGAACCCACTTCATCAGATGCATGAAGTGAAAAATACAGGAGCAGGTATAAATACGTGAAAGGATGTGGGTGCTTTACCCAGTGTTAAGTCAGTCTAATGAGATAAATCAATTAACAGCAGGATACCAAGGGAGGAGAAATAACTTTTGAAGTGGTTGGTGAGAGGCCCATTACAGACAGTTGACAAGAAGGTGTGAGTAACAGTAGGAGGAAATTAGCATTGGGGAAATTAAGTTTAGGTTTTGTAATGACCCAACCACTCCCAGTCTTTATTCAGGCCTAATCTGATGGTATCTAGTTTGCAAATTAATTCCAGTTCTGCAGCTTCACATTGGAGTCTGTTTTTGAAGTTTTTTTGTTGAAGAATTGCCACTTTGAGGTCTGTTACTGAGTGACCAGAGCGGTTGAAGTGTTCTCCTACTGGTTTTTGAATGTTATGATTCCTGACGTCAGATTTGTGTCCATTTATTCTGTTGCGTAGAGACTGTCCGGTTTGGCCAAGGTACATGGCAGAGGGGCATTGCTGGCACATGATGGCATATATCATGTTCAGTTCAGGATGGTCTCAGGTCATCTTACAGAGATGGTTGCTTAATACAAGTAATTCAGTGTTGCCTTGGGCTGTTTGTTTAAAAGGGGTTGGCCTTTAAAACCTGTTGCTATGATTTGATTAGGCCAAATGTCTAAATATTTACAGTTTGTTTCCGGATCAGCTGCATTGAGTCCTAATCCCAGCTCACTGAGGGGAGTTGGGAGCCAGGAGATCAAGACTCACTGTGTGAGCTTGGGACAGTCACTCTGTCTCAGCGTCCCACCTGTTAAATGGGGCGCCAGCCTCTGCCCCACAGGAGAATGAGGAAGGTAAACCTAATGTTTGTGAAGCGCTCCGATACTTCTGTGCTGGAGATGCAGTAGTCGCTTGCTGGCAGCAACACTTTGCAAGAGCACCCACCGCTTACCTGCAACATTTCCCCTGGGAATACTTTCCCTGCTGTGAATTGTCCACTCGGTAACAGCAATGTAGCCGCTGCATTAGAGCAACATTTATGACATTGTGATGTCACATCCTCCGCTTATTTGCATCAGTTTTTTGTGGCAAACCCAGACAAAATGCCAAGCAATTTCTCACCGAAAGAAAAAGTACAGATTATCCACGACTGTGGCGCTCTGGGGGCTCCGCAAAGCCAAGTTGCAGCCAAGTGGGAGTTGCCCAGGTTGGCTGTATGTGGAATGTGGAAGCAGAAGGATAAGCACGAAGACGGACAGTCAAATAGCAGCTGGAAGCGTGGGCATGAAGGGAAACACGGCTGCTGTCGACTACTCTCGTTATATGGTTCAAGGAGAAGATGGCGCAGGGAGGACTACCTGCTGGACCCGCAATCGAGGACAAACCCCTTCAGCTTGCTGCTTCCCTGGGGTTGAATGATCTTAAGGCAAGTGACAGTCGGTTTACCAGATGGAAGAAATGCTTCAATGTTGCTTACAAAAACGGGCATGGTGAGAAACAGCCAGCGGACAAACCAGCAGGGGCAGCGTGAAAAACTTCCTCCCATTTTCCAAGCTGATGTCTACAATGCTGACTAAACGGGACTTTATTTCAAAGGGCTCTGACAGAGGACAGGTCGAAAACAATGAAAAGCTAGGAGGAGGGAAAGCTTTAAAGGACACAGGGGAACTGTGCTTGTCGGTGCCAACGTGGATGGGAGTGACCCCCCTGAACAATGTTCCCCTTCCAGTCAACATGGAAAAAGAGGACTTAGCAGCTGCGGGGGATGAGGATTTGCTCCCGTTCGGAGAGCTGCCCGATGAGGAATTACTGAGCTGCAGCTGCTGCAAGGCCAGAGATACAAGCTTGTGTTGATGAAACATATTCTAATCCAGGGAGTGAGGACGAGCGATTTTGATGAAGTTCCACGTCCGACAAACGCCGAGCGGTTGAAGGCTTTGCACACGCTCTGGCACTTTTCCCGGGTAGCGGGACTTGGTGGCAGGGTCTGCAGGACGTGGAGTCCCGTCTTCGAAACAAAACTGGGTTTGTTAATTTGCTTCTGCTTCTTCTCAATGTTCTTTCAGCCGAAGTGAGTGAGTTTGTCCGTGCTTAATTAATGTACAAGTTGATCCTCACTGTATAAATAGAAAACACTGTAGTGTGGAATAATACTTTTAGGTTGGTTGGTTATTTATTTATTTGCTTAGCAGATGTCCTTATCAGTGACTTACAATGTGTACAAAGTATCCCAGTTAAGTGCGAGTACAAAAAATGTTTACAAGAGCAAAAGGCTGTTTGTCATGGTTGATGTTTGATCTTAAAACAAAAATAAAACTTGATACTTTTATAACATTAACTCAATATTGCTTTCTTGATACAATATGATAGGCAACATGAAGGACAGGAGGTGTACTACAGTATTACTGTAGCAGCAATAATAAAAATACATCGCATTGTTACAATGATAGATGTAGTGTGTACTGTAGCTGTTTTACAGATCAGAAAAAGCAGGCTGCCTTTGGTCAGATGCCACTCCCCATAACAGCACCAGCTGCTTAGAAGCAACATCGCTTCACCCCAGACTTGTTTGTATTGGCATGTACCACTCCAAGCCTGCAGTTCTCTCGCATCTAGAGCACACGCTGCCCCCTCTCTTCCTGCGGGCTCTCAGGGTTGCACTAAACGCTCTGCTTTTTTCTTTTCTCCCCCTGCAGCAGGAATTGTGGCGTTGGCATGGCTCGCATTACCCTGGAGGACCTCAATGGATTGGATGATGAGTCCCTTGATGAAGATGAGGAGCCAATGGATGGGGAAGAACAGAACAGGCTGTTCTCTCATTGGGAAACAGTGGCCAGCACCCATCAAGTGACTCTTCCTCAAGGTGAGAGCAAGGCTGGGTTCCTTCCCCACCCCCACAGTTAGAAATTCCAACGCCTTGCCGAGGTGGAGCCTTCTCCACGTGGAGCCTTCTCCACCTGCAGCCTCTGTGTGGCCCATTCCTGGCGGCTCCACTGGGAGGAGCTGACCCTCCAAAGGCAGTGCTCCAAGCCCAGTGGCCCAGGAAGTACGACACTAGCAGTTCCTTTATCGGGCTTAGCAACACTGACAGGGTTTCTATGGCCCGAGAGACTAGCATGCATGCAAGGAGCTGAGTCAGGTCCTTCGTTTCAGCAGGTCTAGAACCTGGGGCTCTGGGAGCCCTAAGTCTCGGATACTCCCTTGTCACCACCAAGGGAGACAGATGAAGCAGCACCTCCCTAATCTTGGCAGGTCAGGCCCCCCAGGAAGTCCTATCGGACGCCCAAGGCCTGGGTCGCCCCGTTGGCTTGCACCCATTATTTCAGCCAGGAAGTGACCCGGGGTGGGTTGTCCAAGCAGCTGTTACGAACCGGGATGTGGGCGGTCTTGGCTCATGGTCTGAGCATGAGTCAAGCCAAGAGTCAGCATTGGAGTTGGCTCAGAGCTGGAGCCAGTGGTCAGGAGTGATGGTGTCGGGGCAGGAACCAGAGAAGAGGCGAGGTTCAGGCACAGAGCAGCACGAAGCCAGGACCTGGGAGCAGGGACGGAGGCGAGACAGGGAGCAGAGCAGGCACAGGGCTGGATGCAGATTGAAGGAGACAGGTAAGGAGCGGGGTCCGAGCAACTGTGTAAAGTCTCTTGCTGGTGCATCGGATCCCGTTCCTTGCCTGTCTCCTGCGATCGGCATCCGTCCTGCTCCCATCCTGTTCCAGGTTCCTGCCTCACTCTAGCTTCGTTCCTGATCCTTGTGCCATCTCTGGTCCTGCCCCTACACCTTGCTTCTGTCCCTTGGCCTGACTCTGTGTTGGTTACGTCGACTGTTACTGGCTTCCAGGCGCCATCCCACGATGCCCCACACTGACAGACCAATCGCCGCAAACGCTCCGGGTGAGGGCGCACACCACTGACACAAGGAGCGAAGTGCAGACCTGCATGAGCACTGTAATTACTGTGGCGGCTGTATGTCCATGGAAGTTAGGTCGACTTAATTTTGTAGCATAGACATACCCTGAGGGTGAGTCAGAGCTGAGCGTGCAGCGTCTCCCACGAGAGCCCCTCAAGGAAATGATTCAGTCCTCTGCCTTCCACGCAGTGGGGAGAGCAGTGGCCGGAGCAGACCTGTTCAGCTGATTCCTATTAAACCACTGGCTCCTTGGAGAAATAAGTGACACAGCCTGCCCAGTAACCCCTCAGCAAACAGACGCTTGGGGCCCAATTCAGAGGGGCCGATGTCTGTCACTCACATATGGAGGGGACGGCAGGGCCAATAGAGTGTGAAGGCACCCTGCCCACATGTGCTTTATCAACCTGCCTTCCCGCCAGGTAACTCTCTGCTTGCTGAGCATGTGCCCACTGACCTCTGGCTTTGACCGTTGAGCTCTGGTTAGTACAGCCAGTGTAACAGCCGTTCTAAGATGTAAGAATAAAGGGAAAACCAGCTGTCGGACTCTTGATCTGAAACGTGCTTCTGTGCCACGGAGCATGGTCGTGGACCATGGAGGGGAGCGCTCTGCTAATGCTGTGCCTGGCTACAGCTAAGATACGCAGAGCAGTGATAGCTGGGCCCTGTTGGCCCAACGGTCTCGCATTACAGTGGCAGAGCGTGCTGACTGTGCTAGGCGCTCTGCATACCGATCGGGAGCCAGGATTCCTTCCCCAAAGGGCTGCCAGTCTAAACAGCCCGGGGGGGCATGCCCCAGGAGCAGCTGCAGCAGGCTAGTCCTGTATGTCGGCGATAGTCATTCCTCCGGGTACGCCCTTCTCGGGGCGGGGGAGCCCTAGGAAGCACCTCTGAGCAGGTGTGTTTTTCAGAAGCGCCTGGATCCAGCATGGGGTTACCACAGAACGGTGCGAGGGGGCGAGCAAGCTGCGCTGCTACGGGAACAGGCCGGCCCGTTTCCTGAGCTGGGGATGTGGCCAGTCGCAGCCAGCGTGCAGCACGGACACACTTCCCAGAATTTGGTATTGGGGCTGCGTGGTCCCTGATGCTCTGAACTGTGCATTTCTCCCCGCCCTGCTTGCCGTCCGGGCCCATTTTCTCCTGTCTGTTTGGTTTTGCAGAGATGGCGGGTCCCATCGTGCAGATGACGCAGCACAGCCAGGTGCGTGAGCCGGTGCCCTATGTCACCCTGCTGCAGCATGAGAAGGTGAGGCCCCTTCCTCTGGGCACAGGCAGATTTCACACCCGCAGCCCGTGTCCTGGGAAGCGTGCGGGGCCCTGTGTCTCTGTACAGTGGGTCCCCGGCCTTGCAAACAACCACAGCCCAGATCCTGTCCCTGCCCTGGTCCTGCGCCCTCGTCTCCAGCCCAGGCCCCCCAGGATCCATAATGCCCCACTAGTGCTTTGCTTCAATCCAATTGGGGGATCTCACCCCGAGCGACGTCAGCGATCCCCACCCAGGCGCTGGTGTGGACAGCCCTCGCCTCTTGCAGAGGTGGAGTTACCATGGCGACGGCAGAGCTCTCTTCACCAGACGTGCACAGCCCTGCCCATCATGTACCCTAACGATGCCCGATCACAGAGTGAGAGAAGGTTCCTGCTCCGCAGAGCTCCGGGTCTAATGGAAGCCAAGACGTAGCAAGTGTGCGAACAGACAGGAAGAGGGGGAGGGAGATGCTGCGAACGGGGTAAGATCATCCTGTCACCTAGGCTGCTGGGGCGGGACTGGAGGAGCCCAGCTCAGGTAAGGGCACCTTGGCATTCACTCCCTGGCCCATTGGGTCACCTGGTGTTTTAGCCTCTGCCTCTTCCTGTCTCTCTCTGGTGTATGCGAGGGGTGTGTTCTTCACACGTTCCCTCTGTGTGTCCTGCTCCGGGTAGAGTCCTCCAGCCCTGCGGCGCCTGGTGTCCTGCTGGCCTGAGTCCCCTGAGCACGGCTGCAGGAGTTCTCTTCCTTTCCATGCCCCGGCCGTCTGGCACATGCCCAAAGATGACAGGCCCACCCTCCTCCTCCCCCCATCCTCTTATTGTTCACTAGCATCGTATGGGGAGTGTTGGGCAAGCCACCCAGCCCTGTTCTAGCCCCAGTAGGTGCTCACTCTGTTCCTCTCGTCCTCAGAGACCCTTCCAGCAACCTGCTGACCTCCAGCATTGCCTCTATGCCCGCCTGGGCTTCTCTTTCCGGCTCCTCCCCTCTGCTCCACGCAGGAGAGTGCTGCGTAGTCTCTAGAAGTCAGTGTCGCTTCTGGGGGCTTTCCTGTGTGGGTTGCTTGCTAGCTTCCTGACTCCCGCGGAGAGCCCTGGCCTTCAGGCCAGCCAGCCTGCCCTCCCTCCCCCCAGAGCAGGGCTCTGCAAGGGGAGCAGTGGCCCCAGCCACCCTCCAGCTCCTTATGACCACTGAGGGCGCAGCAGGCTGGGATCATGCTCTGTCCTTGGTGCTTCCCTGCTGGTGTCCTGTTGGGCTGGCCTGGTTTGGGGTCGGTCAGCTTCTCCAGCCCTGCAGAGGTGGGAAGGCTGCCTAAGCCCTTGCTGATCAGGGAGGCTGTTTAGGCCTAGTAACTAGGTCCTAGCTTGTGTAAGTCCAGCAGCACGTGTAGAGCCGCTAGCCCCAGCGGCTCCATGCCTAGCAAATGTGCACCAAGGCCCCAAGACTTGCTGGGGTCACGAGTCAGTGCCAGGGGTCTGGCACCATGGAGAATCCCTAGTTAGAGTGGCCCTGGGCTCGACCCACGGGGCACTGAGGACCTGCAGAGGAGCCAGCACTGCTGACTGCTTCAGTTAACCCCCCCTCAGCCGTACTCTCCAGGACAGAGTTCTGATCTCTTCCTCGCCCCTGGGTGGGGAGCCTCTTCCAGGCCCCGCAGCTCGCAGCCAGGCGTGCTCCATCGATAACCGAGGCGAGGGGGAACATCTGCTAGCCTGCTGTCTGACAGTAACCACCGCAAGTGTAAAGAGAACACCAAGAGCTTCACCCTACAGACACATCCATGCCCTACTGCCCTTCTCTGGCTTCATTCCGGAGCCCTCCCACCCCGTCAGGTGTCACCATGGCTGTTGGCAGGGTCCTCCCAAGCACCCTCCCATGGCCTGAGGTCACTCTTCAGTGGCCTGGCTCAGTTACTTCTTAAAGAAACTCCACCCAGGCTTTTCTATCCACTAAAGCCCCTTCACTGAGGTCTCGTGACGTGACATTGACAAGTAAACGCCAAGTCTCTCCCCCCCTCCCCCCCGCCCCAGCCTTACGCTAGGCACAGCGCCTCTGCCCTGGGTGCTGTCCGCTGCTGGAGAAGATGCCAGGCCTGGCCTGCCTGCTTGGCCTCCTCCCCAACAGAAAACCCCAGCTGGAAGGGTTCTTCTATGAGCCACATGCCCAAGCTTGCCAGCTGGGTTCTCCCTTCCCCCTGCTCTTTATAGGGGGAATCGGCTGATCCTCGCTCACCTGTGCCACCTAGAGTTGGCTGACTCCAGGCCTCTGCCTCTGAATGGGGCAAGGCCCCCTCTTCCAGCAGCCCTGCCTCAGTGCCCCTGCCCATAGGCCCAAGGGAACCCAGCAGGAGTTAACCCTTTCAAGGGTTCCATTGGCATAAGTGGCACTGTGACCCCAGAACCCCTCTGGCCTGACCGAGTCAGGGGCCAAGGGCCTGGCACTGTTAAGTCTGGAGATCCAAGCGCCAAGGTGATTCTGTGCCCAGTGTAAGTAGCATTAAAGTCTGTCCACATCAATCAAGTGCGGCGCCAATGGCCATGCCCCATCAGCTGGCAGAAGTTGCTGACCAGAGTGGCACAGTGCCCACCATGAGCAGCACTGGGATCTCTAGGGCACTGGCGCCCAAAGCTGACCTAGAGCGCTCCTCGTTCCAGCAGGTCTCTCTAGTCCTCATGCAGGCCAGCTGCACGGTCGAGCCCTTGCTGGTCGCCGAGTGCCCCACACAGCTGACAGACCCTGCACTGCCTCCTCACGCAAGGTGGAATCCTGCCGTTCTCCCACACTGAGTCCAGGTCCCGGGTTCCAGGCCTGACTGGGTTCGGGTCCTGCCAGCCTTCCCGGGGCGGGGCTGTGACCAGTAGTGTGTGTTCCCCACAGCAGGACCGGAGCTTCCCCAGGGAAAAGGGCCATCACCCAATGAGTGTCTGTGTGCAGATCTCCTTACCTGCCTTATCCCCGAGGTTCACTCTGCCCCCCAGCAGCCCCTGCCTCCCTCCCCTGGTCTGTTCTTTGACCACCCCAAAGCTCTTTGGTTCAGTTTCTATTACTTGTGCAGAAGCCCTAGCCAGAGTGGGTGTGGGCCCCTGGCCCCTCCAGGCCGGCTAGCTGCCAAGGAGCCAGCACTGCTGAGCTTTAAGTGCCCGGCTCTGCGTGGTTCGGCTGAGCCCAGTGCTGTTGAGTGCTAATTGATTCTCGCCATTCTGGCTGTGTAGCGGGATGGGCTTTGAGTTTTCTACCACGTTTCCTAGTGACCGTACTGACCCTCAGCCTAGCGCTTCTGAGGCAGGTTTTACCCTCGACCAGAATCTGCTCCACCTGAGTCCTGTTCTGGAAGGTCCATCTGACTCCTGTAGCTCTCTGCGCTCCTGACCTCCTGCTGCAGCTAGCATCTGTTTCTGAGCCAGGAAGCGGGTGCCAGTGGCTCTGGCTTGGGGTGGGCAGCTTGTCACAGTGCCCAGGCTAGCTGCACCTCTCCCAGCATCTGGTCTCTCCAGGTGGCGGCCGGCTGCCCTCTCCCTCTGGTCGGGGAAACGTTGGTTTCTCTCTCACACGGGGCTGACACCCAGCACTGAATCAATGGTGGGCACCGTAGCAGGTCTGACTGAGCACGGTCCTGCAGGTCGTTCCCTCCAGGCAAGGCCAGTGGGATCTAGTGAGCAGCAGCTCCCTGAAAGCACTTCTGAGCAAACTGATCCTAAACACTGAAGCATGTGGCCTGCAGCACTGGTTCTTCCCAGCCCTGCCAGGCCCAGCCTGCTGCCTGCTCACCACAGCCTCCCCTCCACAAGGGGGGCTCCTCTGGCGCTCGGTTCCCTGCCGGGCAAGACCACGTTTGCAGCACCTTGGAGATGAGACCAGGATCTGTGAAGCTGCCAGCTGCCCCATTGGCTTTCCAGTGTGTGCCTTGGCAGTGTGAGCTGGGAAGCCATTGCTTTGCCTTCCATTGAGTGGGGTCACCTCTTCCTGGCCCCTGGCGTGAAGGACAGCGTGGGCTTGCCCGGTGTTGTGTCCCCCCCACAGTGCAGCCGGGGGGAAGCTGAGGCTGCAGTGTATCTAGGAAAAGCTGCTGGGGGCAGCTGAATGCCAAGGGTGTCCTGTATCACAGGGTCCCCGCTACGCCCGGCTGTAGCTTCTCCTGTCTGTATAGAACAGGGACTGGGAATGGGTAGGAAGCCCAGTGCAGCATGCAGAGCATGTGTCCAGGTAACTTTTACACCCCAGAGTACCCCCTAGCCTGACCCCTTACAAGCCCCGTGTCCTCCAGCAGCGGGACTTCTCAGCTTTAAGGCCCATGCTCCTGGGTGTGCCACTCCGTTGCTTGCATTTGGCCACACGCGGCTGGGATGTGTCCCCCATCTTTTTGCCAACAGTACTAGCGGCCAGAGGAGCTTTCTGCCCCCGCCTGGCAACTGGCCGTGGGGGGTGGGCAGTGACCGTAGGGGTGGGGTGTTGTCAGCAGGCAGCCTCCTGCCCTGTTCTGGGCTCTGACCGGCTTGTCTCCCTGCCTGTCTCAGTGTGAGGAGCGGCTGTACCCAGCGGGGAAATGGGCCTGCGTCACCAATGGGGAGCCGATGTACGAACAGAGCATCTCCATGGGCTTCATGAAACTCATGCGCTACATCTGCAAGGAGAACTCCACAGGTGTGTGCTGGCAGGTGAGGGGCGGGGGGCTGGCTCCGCCCCTCGGGCGCCCTCTCACTGCCCGCCTGTGCCTGCCTCCCTGCAGGCCGCTACCTGGGCATGACGGTGCCTGTGGTGAATGAGATCCGTCTGAGTGAGGAGGGCACCGAGTTGCTGCGGGACGTCACCACTACCTATTACCTCCCAGGGGAGTTCCAGCCCGACCCCCCTCTCCCCACGGACCCTGACATCCGCATTGTGGAGAGACAGCCGCTCCGCGTCCTGACCAGGTGAGCCCCTGCCATTGCTGCCGGCCAGGGGAACAGCCCCAAGGGGGGAGGAAACGTCTCGGAGGGGGAGGGGAGGTGGCGCACTGGGGGCAGGGGAGCTTGCCAGCTAACTGTTCTCCGGTGGCTGTGGCCACTCTCTTTATTCCAGGGTTTTCTACGGGGTGACGACGGAGGAGACGATCCTCCGGGAGATCCGCCTTCTCTGGGAGCTGCTGGGCTCCACAGACACCGTGCTGCGGGAAAGCTACATGGTGGCTGCCTACGAGAACCCCAGCGTCCCTCAGCGGCGCAATGAGCTGTGGTTCATCCGGCGGGCAGAATGAGTGCAGCGCAGCCCCGTGCTGGCCCCGCTTTCGATGGCAGTTCTGGCTGAAGGAGATGAATGCACAGCCTGACGCACTGGGCGCCGTAGAGCTGCGCTGGACCCGAAGAGGAGACCTGCTCCACGCCCAGCCCCGGGAAAACCAGCATGTGCCAAATGGCTGGCCGGGGTCCATCTCACGCCTGCAGGGGGCAGTGTGCCATTGTGCACTGAGTGTGGCTGGGCACATGGGGGCGGGCTGGCCAGGCTGGGTGCTTGTGCCAGGGTGCCAGCCTGGGCTCGAGGTGTCAGGCCTGACTTGAGTTTGCAGTGCTGGGCCAGGCACCTGTGTGTGGCTGTGGTTGAAAGAGGTCTCTTGGGCGATGGTTGGTGTGGCACTTCCTGGGGCACTGAGCATTCCTCCGTGTCTTGCCTGCTGAGGGAGGGTGTGTGCTGCAGCCGGTGGGGGGCCCTTGCCCTGCTCAGAGCAGGGCTGTGTGTGTGCATGCCCAGGAACAGAGACTGGTGGTGCCCGCAAGCAAAGCTGGGATCCTGTAGGACTCTCCTTCGTATCTGCCCAGCCGCGTGCCCGTGGTGGGCAGCCCCTTCGTGTTGGTCAGCGCCCACCGCGCTGCTGCTGAGCCGGTGGCCACCAGGTGTTAGTCCGGCCCTCGGCCCTGGGCTGAGCAGAGAGGGGCAGCAGCGGGGTCACTGTGTGTTTTGTTGTGCATTGATTGGTTGGTTTCACACTCATACGTGCTGCTGGGGGAGGCTGGCAGCGCGAACCTGAAATAAATCCAGCTCAAACCACTGTGTGTGGCAGCTGATTGGCTGGGGGCGGCCACGCTGGGCCCAGACAAGGGCCCGGGCAGCTTCTTGACCCCTCGTGGACACAGTGCACCTGACGCTGGGCTCCATGGCCCTGTTAGCTGGGCCCTGCCCAGGTTCTGATCCCACGCCCCCGCCGGAGCCAGCTGCTAGTACTGATGCCAGCCTGGCACAGCCTCCTGCTGCTTCCTGAGCGCAGGGGGTCACCGCAGCCGTTGCTAAGGATGGGCCTGGCTGGTCCCACCAGCTTCAGAGACCTCCTGGACTATGGCTGGAGGGACTGGGTGGACCCTTCAGCCAGTGTGTGGGGCTGTCCAGCCCATGCGTCCCCTGCCCTGTGCTCCAAGAGGTGAGGTCAGCCTGAGCTCTTGCTTGCCTTGAGCAGGCTTGGTGGGAGGGTGCTCGCTGCCTGCTCCTTGTCCTTGGCGTCCCTGACCCAGGAGCCTCCCCGCTAACCCTGACACACCACCTGAGCTGGCCACATGACATCCAGCTGTACGGCAAATGCAGCAGGGGCTTAATGGGAGTCAAAATCGGGACTTACTGCCAGGATGAGTTGGCTGAATTCAGCGGAAGGGCTAGATGCATGGGAAACCAGCCAGCACCCCACGGCACCCGGGGGGCCCGGACAGAACATGAGGAGCTCAGTCTGTTGGCTAACAGAAGAGATGGTTATGGGTGACTTGATCACAGTCTGTAAGTACCTGCATCGGGACCAGAGCGCTGAGCAGGGTTTATACGAGTTGAAGCTAGGCCCATTCAGATGTTTGAGAGCAGGGAAGAACTTCCCACCGGGATCCGTTGTGGGGCGGGAGGATTCACCATCAGCCTGGGCTGTTTCTCTAAAACTCTGCTCTAGTTCAGGCAGGAGTTCAGCTCGAGAAGGCCGATGGCTGACCCCAGTGGGCCCGTCTGGCCCTGGGATCCATGAGCCTGGTCCGGAGCCAATGCGGAGAATCTCGTGGGGTGGAGCCTCCCTGCTCCCACAGGCACTGGAAGGGGGCCCCAGCTCTTGCGAGGCTGAGATAGGCAAGCACATAGTCAATATGTCAGTCTGGAATGACTTCTCCCTGCAGCCGGTAGCTGTCCAAGTGTCACGCCAAGGGCTCTCCGGACTAGTCTGCCTGCATTGTGCTGTACGCTGGCCGTGTATCGTATGTACAGACTCGCTCAGTTTGCAAGTCAAGCACTCAGAAGTGAGGAAATGCCAGTATTAAGTTCCCTGTGCACCCTTAACTCGGCCCCTTTGGGCACCTGCATGACAGTCTTTACTTGCATGCTCATGTGCTCTCTTTTCCACAGGGCTTTGTCCCCTTCAGTGCACAGGATGGATGGGTGGCACTCACCTAACGAGCAGCCAGTCTCACTGTGCCCTGTGTGACCCGGCCACTATTCAACCCCTGCGCTGAAGCCAGAATGATTCATTTCCTTATGAGCTTTTCTAGGATGCTCATCACTGAAACACAGCAATTCCATTCTGTGGAATCGTACTGACCCCCCGTGGGTCACCAGCAGGGCTTGGACCCTTTAGATCCACCCCACTGACCTCGGCCACTTGAGCTAACAGTCACTGCTAGCAGTAGTAGGTTGTCATCCTCCATGCGGACCAGCACTAGGGGGGGATTAGACCACTTTTTTGCTGGTGGGTTTCACAGACACTTGCTGACAGTAGAGGACGGGTGAGACTCAAGGATTAGGAGGGGAGTGGTCTCTAGTGAGCACAGCTTGTACCTGTTCCACCCACCTTCACCCCAAAGCCTGGCTCCTGCCCCATCCCCTTCCTGCTCTTCCTTCTTCCACAGCCTTAGTTCATTGGCCCAGCTGGTCCTAGTCTCCCTCTCCTGGCTTGCTGGCCAGTTCCCAGTTGCCCCCGTAAGAGGCTGGCTCACCCCTTATAGGCTGGAGGGCTGGGGCGAGCCTACTAGGATTACAGACAAAGGTAGCCTGCGTTGAATCAGGGACTGCCCTTCAACAGGCAGCAGGTGGCTGCAATGGAGGGGGCTGGGGCAGATGAGGAAGGGCTCTTGCAGGGTGGACCCTGGGATCAGGGGAGTTGTCCCAGGCCAAGCAGGGGCGAGACTGCAAAGGCCCCAGGCATGAAGGCCCAGGAAGGGGAAGAGAAACCATGTGCGGACTTAGGACCTGATACTGGTATTTTGAGGGCTATTGGCAGTGTGGCTTGTATTACTAAATCCGTGCCCGAAGGAGGAGTATTTTTGACCAAGAAAAAATCCAGAGTGAAATTTTATTTTAACACTCCAAGAAGGGGAATTGAGGCAGGCTACTTGGACCATAATCCTAGGCTACGAGGTGGGCATGGGAGGAGGCTGGCGCACTACACCCACCCTCACAGTCTCTCCCCCTCTCCACACCTAGTCCCAATGGCCTTGTGCGGCCAGTCACAGTCCCCCCTCCCACTCTTTGGCTGATCTACCTAGCCTCTTTGCCTGCCCCACACTGGTTTCCAACCCTCGTATCCATCCCCGGGATCCTCTTCCAATCTCAGTCTCTCTCCACCACCTCCCAGCCAGTCCCAGTTCTCCTGCACCCCAGCTGCTTGTCAGATCTGTCTCTCCCTGCTCGTTTCTAGTCCCAGTCTCCGTATGCAGCCAAGTCTCCCCCACAACTCCCTGTCTGATCTCAGTATCAGCGCCCAGTATTCCTCCCCACCCTCACCCCGTTTTCCTCATTGGCTCCCAGCCTCCCTCCCAGTCTCCCTCCTTCCCCTCCCCCTGGTCTGGCTTTTGTCCCCTCTGCATTGGAATCAGGTGCCTTCCTGCTCCCCGCTGCCTGGGTGCAGGGCCGGCTCCAGGCACCAGTGTAGCAAACAGGTGCCTGGGGCGGCCAATGAAGAGGGGGGTGGCACGTCCGGACATTCGCCGGCAATTCGGCAGCGGGGCCGTCACTCCCTCACGGAGCGAAGGACCTGCCGCCGAATTGCCGCCGATCGCGGCTTTTTTTTTTTTTTTCCTGCTTGGGGCGGCAAAAACGCTAGAGCCAGCCCTGCCTGGGTGCCAGCAGGGGAGGGCACAGAGTACACAGGAGAGACAGGCTCGCTGCTCTCAGATCCTGCCAGGGCCTGGCCCCCCTCCAGCTCAGAGCAGCCACTACAGGGACAGTCCTGCTGAGTGGCCCATAGCTATGGGGTAGAGCACGGCCAGGTGCTGTCTGGGCAGCACTAGAAGCTGTGAGAGGATGGAGCAGGCTCAGTGGGGACAGAATCCTCGATGAGTTTAGCTGCTAAACTCTAGGGAGTTCCTAAGGAGCATATGCAAACTGGGCTGGTTCAAAGCCTTAGAGCTTGGCCAGATTTTCATAAGGATGGCAAAAGCCTCCCCCCCCCCCCCCCGCCCCCCCCCCACCCCCCCTCCAAAGCAGAGGGACACGACAGCTGGTCAAAAAGCCCATTTCCCCCTTCGCCTCACGCTTGGAAATGCCTGAACCATTTTGGCTCGTTTGCCAAAAAGAAAAAGCGCAGCAGGAGGCAGGTACCCAGCATGCAAAGTTCATCCCACGTCGTTACCTAGCAATGTGATCAGCCCCTGGAGCGAGGGGCTTAGAACGGGAAGGGGCAGGCAGCCTTCGGGGCGGTGGCCCTGCCAGCAATGAATATTTCAGAGGTGAGCTCAGGACCCCATTCTGCTGGGCACAGTACATACACGTAGTAAGGGAGAGAGCTTGCAGCCTATTCGACAAGGGGTGGGAGGGTAAACTGAGGCACGTGCTGGGGAAGTGACTTGGCCAAGGCCCACAGCATCCCTGTGCAGAGCTGGGCTCAGACCGCAGGTCTCCTGAGTCCCAGCCCAGTGCGCTCTACCCATGGGTGCTGCTGCCTCTCCTGAGCCCTGCCCTTCCCCTGGGCGTGAGGCGCTCCTCTGGCTCTCAGCCACGGAGCAGCCTGGGTTTGTTTTTCCAGCTGTCTGAAGGGCTGAGCCTACCAAAGCTGCTCTGAACCCAAGTCTGTGTCTGGCATGGGGCCTCGGGCGCAGTGCTGGGTGTGGTGAGAGGGTTTGAGCTCTCGCCAGCTCTGCTCTCAAAGGACTAGGCCTTATTTGAACCTTCCCTCGACGGGGGTGGGGACGGACGGTCCCTGACCTGTTTTCTAGCACCCGGCAGAGCCAGCGGCTGTGTACCGCGTGGGCAGGGTGTGAGCTTGTCTCCTGGCCCCGTCTGGTTACGAATGCCTGACGCCATTGGGAAAGGCTCTCCCTTCTGCCAGGGTGCTCGGGGGACCCGGCTCCCTGCCCTGGCCAGCATGCAGAAATGGACCCTGCTCCCAGGAAGTGCCCTGGCACTGGCTGTGGTTCTTTGGTCCAGGGCTTTCCAAGGCCAGCCCTCCTCCCTGCCATGGCCTGTCTGAACTGTGTTTCAACTGGGCGGTGCAGGAGTAGAGAAAATGGGGGTTTACTGTTCAAACACTGTCAAATGCAGAGTTAAGGTGATGCTTCCCACCCCACCACCTTAACTCGGTCCCTACCCTCAGGTGTCCCCTGGGGGCTGGCAGGACCTTACCCCTCCCTGGGTGTTCTGTGCCAAGCAGCGGCAAGCCCTGCCCAGAGCACAGCAAGGGGCCGGTGGGCTGTGTGGATGGGGTGCTGAGCTGGAGCTGTGCTGGGCACAGAGAGGGTGGGAGGTCTGTTTAGGGGGTGGGCATGGTGTTGTGTTGTCCCCAGTTCCTATTGCCATCCCCACAGGGGCACAGTTAAGGAGGTGCGGTTGCATTGTGCAGAGAGCGTTGAGAAGCTGCCCTTTTCCTGGCCCAGTGCTCCCCCATCGGAGTAAAACTTGGGGGGAGCACAGCTACTGCATCTGCTATTGGAATTAGATTCATAGACTTTAAGGCCAGAAGGGACCATCATGATCATCTAGTCTGACCTCCTGCACGTTGCAGGCCACCGACCCTCACCTGCCCACTCCTGTAACAGACACCTCACCTCTGGCTGAGTTACTGAAGTTCTCAAATCAAGA